AACTTTTCTGTGTGGCTTGAACTCATCATGTTTCTTTTGTAGCTCTTCCATCTCGTTGCATTTTGTTTGCATCCATGTTTATTTAGCTTCTTTGATTTTTAGTTTTAGTTGTTGTTGCATTCTTTTATATTCAGTTTTACTCTTGTTTTTGTGTTTTCTTCTTTGTTTTATTAGTTCACTAATTTCATCCGTCATCCATTGTTGTTTCTCGTGGGTAAAAATCTGAGCTGCTGTATTACTGATACCATTTTTAATGTTAGTCCTTTCTTTCTATGATTAACGCATTAGATGTTTGTGTGATGTTCTCTCGTATTTTGTGGTTCATCGCTTGTTTGAGTTTTTTTCTAGTTTAAGCAGATTTTAACTGCTGGACATTAAATGATTTTCTGATGAGTGACTTTTTTATACGTTTAAATTTAAGTTGTATTTGAGAAGCAAACAGATTATGGTTGCTGGCTACATCAGCACTCGGTTAAGTTTTTGAGCCTTTACATGAATTTCGGAACCTATTTCTTATCTTTTATCGTATAACCGTGACCGTCACGTAGTGATGTCTGTGTATCGAGTTGTCTCTTTGGCTGTTTATAGAGAGTAACCAAGATTTCCTCTTGACAGAATTCCACCAGTGTGTTACCTGTCTCATTCCTCTCTCCCAGCCCAAATCTTCCAGTTACTACTCCTGGTGATATTTCCTCTATTACTTTGGCATTAAAATCTTTCCATTTAACGTTTACTGTAATATATAATATTTGAATATATCAGAAATTCAACAAGTTTTTGCATAATCTACACTCTAAACGCGTTTTCCAGATCTAGAAACCACAAACGTTTCGTTTCAGTTCGATACTATCCGAATTTGCTCCGATTTACAAAATTTGACGACGAATAATTCCGCCCTGCAGAAACTTTAAACCGGAAACGAGAACTTGGCAATTTTCCAGACACGGGGACCGAAATCACGTAGACTCGCCTCGCAGCATGCATTTTAGGGTTTGACCCGGTTCATAAGGTGGCATTTGTCCACACGCTGACAGGATTAAATCTCACTTTAATTTGCCCAAGAAACCATATTTTACAGCGTGTTTTTAAATTACTCTTTCTACGACTTACTCTAAAATACCCAATTACCACTTCGGACGCTTTCCATATTTTGGTCATCGACAAATTGTTTGCCATCGCTCTTTCATGTTCGATCACTTAAAAGTATAAGCAAAATTGAAACCGGAAACTCGAATGGAGTTATATGAAAAAATATGAGAAAAATTTATTTGAAAATTGCACCTATTAATATTTTGAATGAAAACAACAAGTGATCTCACCTAAACAATTTTCCCATACATATTTCTGATATGTAGCGGCTATTCTGGGGGATACTGTAAGAAAAAAGAAAAAAAAATATTCTTCAACCTTCTTATGCTGTTCCTTTTTGGATTAGTCTTATTAACTTGAAACATTAATAAAATTTTGATATTTAGATTTAGTTACTATTGTATTCCGTTAAGGAAAGTTATCATATGAGTTAGTCGAAAAAATGCCGTTGTTGTTTGTAATAATTAAAAATTGCCTTGCTATACCCTCAAACCTCAGATAAAACTTTATTGGTAAAATTTCATAAACGTGAGTATAAAAAAAAGTATTTTAAATAATGTGGACTTTTTCTATTGGAGATACAACTGAAAATGTCACACTTATCCTGAACTACATATGTTACATGCTCTGTGCAAAGAAGAACACGTTTATTCTAGATCTCTATGGGAATATAGAGTCACAAAGTTTTTAGTTATTAAGTTGAAGGCACACGAAAATTTAGTCACTGCAGTAATGCAGTAACGCCAATAAAATTATTAACCAATTAATATAAGAATACTTTATCTTAAAGTTTATAAAACATGTAACCAGTTGTTGAATTAAATATAATGTTTATTTAGGTATAATAAAATCACATTTGTGCTAATAGAATATACAATCACACTAACTATATACAAATGATCAATAATTATCTAAATAAGTACGTTTTTATTCAAAATCAAATTGATTCACTCTCATAGTCATTACAATTAATGACAATCTTTAATTTAAAAAATGTGCTGAACTGCATTTTTTCAGCTCACAACAGATATGTTATTAATTACATCTGTAATTAAATTTATTACACTCGGATTTAAGGCACGAGAAACATTTTCTCTTCTCGCACTTGATTTTACTTGATGCCACAAATGTTCTATTGAGTTGAATATACAGTGAACGGCTAAAATATAGAACAAATTCATTGAAAAATCAGACACTGGATTTCAAGAAAAACGCCCACCCACATCCATCATAATTTTTTCTTGCCGTAAACGAGAAATATACTTAGAAATCCAGATCGAAATATCATTTTTGATTTTTGACCAACGTTTTGAAAATAGTGCACAAATATTGGTCATTTCGAGCATCCATATAATAGCAATGCCTTTAATTCAAATAAATATATCCAGTAGAAAATATTACAACGAATTTATCATGATAGTTCTGGCGTAGTCTAGCTTAACAGCTACTCTGAATTAGATGATGACGTATTTAACAAAATCACTATACATTAGACAACACGCATTTGAATATTAGAGCCAGTATTTACCGACTAATCACCTAGTTTAATTACATAGTCTTAGTTAGTGACATTAGTTATAAGAATTGCGCGAACAGACGTAGAAGCAGAAAGCTCATTAACGGGGATCATTCCTTTTCAACCAGTTAATATTCGTTTAAAGAGGTGAAATATGATCAAACTTCCGCAGCCCACAAACAATGTGGATATCCAAACAAAAATTGTGAAGAAAATCCCAACAATCACACAACTGAATGTATTATTTCTGAAAGGGCTTAAGTGCAATTTCCGTTATTTTCTGTTTAGTGTAAAAAATCAGTAAGTAAGAAATAAATATTAAAATTGTAATTGACCTTGCGTTGATGTTTTATTATGCTTTTACATGCTTACACGGTGGGGTTATTTTCAGTAGTAAAATAATTTCTTTATCGCCAGGTTGATATCATTAAAAAAACATTTTTAGTCATTTTTATTACAATATGAAGAGAAAAATCTAATAAAAAATGCCAGAACCACAGGTGTCGCCTATAAAAATTATAAGGGTAGAATAAAATGAGAGAAAATAAAATGTTCCACGAACTCAAAAAACGTCTTTTACAATTTTCACACAGCATCAGAATATGTTAAAAGCATTTTTGGTGTTGCTGTTTTTGGAGAAAAGAAACAAGAAAATATGGAATGTCCCCGATTGTGTGGTTCCAATTTTTGAACTAAAACCAAAAACTGAACGATGTCTAACCTAGTGGATTGTTGAAGAAAAGAATAAATTTTATTCCCATATAATAAATTCCTGGAAAATGGCACTCAAGGTCACAGCAGTTAGTTGTTCGCTAAACTGTGTCGAACGAGAAGAATATCTTCACATTTTTTAAGTGTGTTTATATAAGTTAGAACTTTGTTTTCTTTAATTTTTTTGGTGAAAATATTAATTTAAATTTCGTTATATAGGAATTTTTGTATATCTACCTAAAATATGAAAATTATTCAACGAACAGCTAAAATATGGAACGAATTCATTTAGAAATAAGGTACATTTGCGCATTTTTTGTAGTAATTTGAAAATATACAGGGTGGTTAAAAAAGCAAACGTCGATACCAAGTTTCTTTTTTTAAATTGAAAACAATTTTTTAAATTAAAATAAAAAAGAGATATTTGATTTTGACATGAATAGGAAAGTACTTACCATTAAAGTTCTTAAATTTAGAGAATTGAAGTTTTTAATTCATTCATTCAAAGCAGACAAACAATAAGTGAAATTGAGAGAATATTTGTAGAAACACGGCATGTAAAAGATCGTCTTCGGCGAGGTCGTCCAAAAACCCAAGACTAAACATTTTGTTAGAAGTAGAGGATCATTCTCATCGTGCATCTTCTGAAGTAGTACACGTTTTTTAAATGGTACGGTAAGTAAACAAAATTGTAGGTTTTGTAAGACAAATATCCCTGATGGATGAGAGAAAATTGTACACAACATCCAAAAAAATAAATGTTTGAGCGTTGTTTTTAAACAATAACATTGTTTTTCCTTTAATCAAAATCTTACTGAAGTTCCTTACAAAACTCTAAATAACCCTAATATGCCAGATTGGTTGAAACAGGATGGCTCGGCCACAAAAGCCACAGAAGCCACAAAATTTGATGATTTAAAATATGGAATTAGATACGAAACAAGGCAAATGAATGAAAATATTCTGTATAATGTTTTAGAACAGTAAAAATAGGTAATTACTTTTTGGGGAGGCTCCTTCAGAAGTCAAGAGAGAAAGAGTCAATTCAAAGTCTATGTAAAAGCGCTGATAACTCAGAAATTTGCGCTGGTTTTTAGGCACTTGTGATGTTTATATTAAGGCGACAAAATAAGTGATGCATATTCTAGAATGGATGGGAGTTTGATAAAAATATCACTTCATTTCAGAACGGGGAACAAATTAGAGCCTACCATAAGCATGTAGATGTCTGTGTTCATGGATTTTCACCGATTTGTGTTTTTCGGTGGATTTTTCCGATTTTTTTTAACAAAAAAGGATTTCTCGGTGTACACGACCTTCTAAGCTCTACGAAAGAAACCCGGAGGTACTTTTTTTACTTATTATTCCACGTTCTGAGACCAAGTCCACATGCATCTGCGGCGATCTCCGTAACACCCGCGTAAACTGCTTATCAACCGTGCGCTGGAAGCGAAAACCATAAGCTGCGAAACCTCGAAACAAGTTCAAGGACGAGCGTCATCGGGAATCGCAAACACACACACACACACATATCGTTCGGGAAAACGACAACCGGCCAAACAAACATCGAATTAAATAAAAACCGTAAAAAATATCCGACTGACGGACGGACGGACGATGCGTAGGCGCAGTACACGCCAGGACGCGTATCCACCACCTGTAGTTTCGGCGATAGACGCGTTCCAAACAGTATTTTAGCAGTAAGCGTCGCGACACTGTAACAACCGAGTTGGCTCTGCGCGCTCGTTTATCTCGAAAAAAGCTACGACGCCGGCGGAGGCGGCGGTGCGTTCCTTCGTGTCCGGTATCGTCGGTTTAAAATCTGCGGTGATCCTGGTCCTTTTTTGGGCGGCGGTGTCATGTAAGAAACCATCATAATCGACACACGACGACCCTCTCTGACCGATCAGTCTTTGTTACCAGGTTTGTTTTTTTTTTGTGTTTGGAGAGTTTTTTTGGGGGACGAATCCCCGAGTGGTCTCATCGAACGGGTGGCTTTAGTATTTATTGAATACTAAAATGTGTTTTTCGTAAAACCTGGAATGTTTCTAAAATTTTACCTTTTCCATTTGTACTATGCTTAATTTCCATGTGAAATAACTAATATAAACGATGACATTTTGTTTTCCGTTCCCCAAACAATGTTTTCAAAAACTCAACTTAGGCCCTTTTCGAAATGCACATTTTTACTTTTTCGTATTTTTTTAACATTGTATTATATAGTTTTTTCTTGCTCGCGTTTTGAAGTAAATAGATAATATGCAGGGGGATCAAAAAAACAGATATCGATAGCAAATTACATTTTTTCAATCCATTTTCGAATTATATGTCCAATTTCACTCATAATTCATGTAAATATAAATATCTCTTACTTCTTATGAACAAAAGAATTAAAAACATGTCAAAGAAATTATATGCCCACCATTAATTTCTTGACAGTATGCTAATCGGTTTTAAAAACCCTTCCAAAACGTTATTCAGGATATTTTCATTAATTTGCCTTATTTAAATTTTTAAATTTAAATTAAATATCCCCAATGGAGTAATATCTGCCGATCTTGCAGGTCAATCTATCGATCCCCTTCTACCAATCCGCTGTTCGGAAATTACAGCCATCGTGTTGAAATCAAATCAAATATGAGGCTGATTTGGATTTGGGAAAGAAACCGCGAGAGTTGGAATTAATCATATCCATGAAATTGTAAATATTTATTCATTCAAACATTTAGTCATAATGAAAAAATATTGGGTTCCAGTAAGATTTTGATTGCAGAAATAAGGTCCAAAAAGTTTGTTATTCAAAATATCTGCCCAAAAATTTATTTTTTGTGGATATTGTGTATGATTTTCTCTTACCGTACCATTTAAACAAAACGTAGCTTCATCACATCACAGATTCTGACGATGAAAAAATGGATTTAAGTTTTACATTTCCATCGTAGTTTCACAAAACTGTAGTCTGCTGTGTAATATTGTACGAGTGATGCTTAGCTTATATTGTTTTAATACGCGCAACGCTGTCCGTTGGCCCATATCATTATTTGAAGCGAATTCAGAAGATGCGCGATAGGGATTATCATTAACTTCTAATAAAATGTTTACTTTTGATCTTGATCAAGATCTTTTACATGTCCTGTTCCTACAAACTTTCTCTCAATTTTAATCACTTTGTATCTTGTAATGTATTTATGAATATTTTGAATTAAACAAATTATATACTTCCTCTTCAGTTTTCGTATTGTTTCCATATCCAATAAAAATCAATACTTCATTGATCTGGGTTTCATTTTGATGCGCCACATTCACTTCCTTTACTGACAGAAATGTAATTTTAACAATTTAAGAACTTTACTGGTACCTCTATTCATTTCAAAATTAAATTTTTGTATTCTTTTACTCATAAAATGATATAGAATATATCAGATATGTGTGAAATTTGACACATAATTTGTAAATGGATGAAAATAGAGGGTTTTCATTTAAAAAAAGAACTTGCTATCGACAACCAAAATTGTGCAATGAAATGACTTGGGTCAGCATTTTTCTTCAAACTCAATACCTTATTTTTTAATTAATTTGTTCCATATTGTAACCGTTCACTATTTTAGGTAAATATACGGAAATATTTATATAACGAAATAAAAATTAATATTTTCACCAAAAAATGAAATGAAAACGCTGTTCTAACTTATAGAAACATAAGAAGCACTGAAAAAAATGTGGAAGTGTAAGTTCTAAATGACGTTTTTTGAATTCGTGGGACATTTTATTTTTTCATTTTCATTTGATCGCCACTATTTCTTCTAGGACCTAGGCCACCACTCACCTAGGCCAAACTCAAGTATAATTATTAACTATTCTGTCCTTACAATTTACAAAAGGCGGCACCAGTGGTTCTGGCTTTTTTGATTACAATTCTCTAGTAATCTTCAGCAAAACGAAACAACAACAACGCAACAACGCAAGGTAACTTAAAATTTTAATATTTATTTCTCAAAAGGAGTAAGCTGAGGAACTTATGTTCTTTCTGCTCTAAAAGAGTTATTTCCTCCTCTACAAACATCAGAACGCAGTACCATAAAGTTTCGTTTTTGTCGGGATCTCCAATTTGTTTGTGGGTTGCGAAAGTTTGATCATATTGAACTGAGGTGGCTTTTACTTGATGAAAATCCATTTATCAAAATAAATAAGAACTAAAAGTTCAGATTTTCACGAAATTATATATTATGACATGACAATTGTTTCGACAACACCGTGTCTTTATCAAATGTAATATATACAAACTACCTGTTACTATGTATACCGAAAAATGACCATAAAACCTTAATTAATGTTGTGAGAATTTAAGTTCAATAAAGGAGAGGTATTTAAATCTAATTGATCGTTAAGTAATACATTTGAATGTCTCGTTTTGTTAATCTCCATGGCTTCCAATAAATTTAATTTTCTACTTTTTGTGGCTGTATGTAAAATATCAAAATTGTCGTCAAAAATGTGTTTTCTCTCGCTCTTTTATTTTCGTTAATGCGTTTCTTGAAGGATCTACCTGTTTGTCCAATATAAATTTTAGGACAAGATCCACATTTCAACCTGTAGACACCTGATTTTTGGGATTTTGGACATTTCGTTTTATTGTTTTTTAAATATTTTCCTATTGTGTTGTTAGTTCTGAAAGCTATTTTTAAACCACATTTTGACAAATGTTTTGAAACTTTTTCACTAGGTTCTCCTATGTATGTAATTGTTTTAAATTGTTCGTGTTCTGTATTAGGTTTCGGATAAATAGAGTTTACTGTTGTCTGTATTTGTTTTTTATTTATAATTTTATCTATATTGGACGGATTGTAGCCGTTGTTCAGTGCAACTTGTTTAATGATATTAAGTTCTTTGTTGTAATTTACTGTCGAGAGTGGCGTATTAAGAATTCTGTGTATAAAAGAGTTAAATGCAGCCATTTTATGTGTATAAGGGTGATTTGAGCTGTTATGTATGACTGTGTCCGTGTGTGAAGGTTTATGATATATTGATAAGTCTAATTTGTTTTGCGCTTTTGTAATAGTTAAGTAGTTGTAAGTTGGGCGCTTTTGTAATAGTTAAGTAGTTGTAAGTTAAGTTAGACTTAAATTGTTCGCGTTCTGTATTAGGTTTCGGATAAATAGAGTTTACTGTTGTCTGTATTTGTTTTTTATTTATAATTTTATCTATATTGGACGGATTGTAGCCGTTGTTCAGTGCAACTTGTTTAATGATATTAAGTTCTTTGTTGTAATTTACTGTCGAGAGTTGCGTATTAAGAAGTCTGTGTATAAAAGAGTTAAATGCAGCCATTTTATGTGTATAAGGGTGATTTGAGCTGTTATGTATGACTGTGTCCGTGTGTGAAGGTTCATGATATATTGAAAAGTCTAATTTGTTTTGCGCTTTTGTAATAGTTAAGTCTAACTTAACTTACAACTACTTAACTATTACAAAAGCGCCTAACTTACAACTACTTAAATTAAATTAAATTAAAAATTAAATTTAAAACAATTACATACATAGGAGAACCTAGTGAAAAAGTTCCAAAACATTTGTCAAAATGTGGTTTAAAAATAGCTTTCAGAACTAACAACACAATAGGAAAATATTTAAAAAACAATAAAACGAAGTGTCCAAAATCCCAAAAATCAGGTGTCTACAGGTTGAAATGAAAATTTATATTGGACACACAGGTAGATCCTTCAAGAAACGCATTAACGAACATAAAAGAGCGTTTCAAAACAATAGTTTAGATTGTAATTATGCTACACACTTAACCATAGAAAAGACATTTTTGACGACAATTTTGATATTTTACCTACAGCCACAAAAGGTAGAAAATTAAATTTATTGGAAGCAATGGAGATTAACAAAATGAGACATTCAAATGTATTGCTTAACGATCAATTAGATTTAAATACCTCTCCTTTATTGAACTTAAATTCTCACAACGTTAATTAAGGTTTAATGGTCATTTTTCAGTATATAAAGTAGCAGGTAGTTTGTAAATATTACATTTGATAAAGACACGGTGTTGTCGAAACAATTGTCATGTCATGAAAATCTGAACTTTTAGTTCTTATTTATTTTGATCATATTTCACATTTTTAAATGGACATTAACTGGTTGAAAATGAATGATCGCCATTAATAAGCCTCTTGCTTCTACGTCGGTTCGCGCCATTCTTATAACTAATAACATCTTTTAACCAAGATTAAGTAAATAAACTAAGTATTTAGTTGGTACATACTGGCTCTAATATCTAATATTGTTTTACATTCAAATGCGCGTTGTTAAATACGCAACGTTTGAATGAAAAATTCATCGTAATATTTTCTACCTGGTATATTTATTTGAATTAAAGACATTATCATTAATATATGGATGCTCGTAAAGGGTAAATAGAATTTGTGCAATATTTCTGAGTATAAGGGCTATTTTGATCCACCTTTTTTCTATTTTTTCGATTTTAGATTTCATATTCTACCTGTATAATGCATAACTCCTATAGGGCGTTTCAAACATTCCCTTAATTTACATTTTATTTTTAAAATATTTCTGAAACAGAAATTCCTTGAATTGGGCTGTGGAAATTGCTTTTAAGAAAATTCAAACTAATTTACAATATTTATACTTCAGAGTGGGTTTCTAAAGCTCATTAATCCTGCGATAGTCGGCCTTCGCTCATGAAGATTATTTAAGATAATATATTAATTTGATCAACATTATATGATATAACTTCAGAGCCAATAATTTTTTTGACCGAAAAATTCAATTTTTTTTTTAACGACACTCCTAAAACAACAACATATTGAAATTTTGGCAGTAGTAATTTTTATGAATCAATCAATTAGGTATCTTAATTTTGTTGGACAGATCTTATTGACCAAACTCACCTTGATTTT